GTCATGATCCTCATTCCGTATAGTCAGAATTTACGGACCAGGGCATGCGGTAGACCTGAGCGCAAGCCTTGCCAAATAGTTGATGATTTGCAAAGAACAGCTTTCTGAAACCATTACACATGAAAGCATCTTCAATTCTAACAACTCTCATAGTTCTTTATTGTCAACTTTGTCAATTATGAGAGTATAAAATGAGCAGAAACGTTGGCTCCTGTTCGCCTAGGCTCTGCAGTGTGTTAACAATTTCGCAACGTGGAGAGCTCCTCCTTGCGGGAATCCCCAGCTGCATTATAGCATAACAATTTCTTACATTAGGTAATGCCTTTTTTGAGGAGTATGAATAAGAATATGATCTTTTTCGATACGGTTTTAGCACTAGGAGTTATTCTGAAAATTTTTGCAAAACAATTGAGTTTTTTTCAAAAACTTTTCGCATGAGGGATAATTTTTCCCTTGGCCCCCCTTCACTTTCCAACCTGTTTTTTTTATATTCTCATAAAATTTTACAAAACAGACAACAACGATACCAAAGGGAGCATGGAAATACATAGCAACCCTGTGGCCATTACATTAAACATATTTGATTCAAATTAGAGTTGCATTAAATGTTGCAAATTACATGTTACAGATTACTAATAATTAAAAACATTTACAATTTGGATGTTAAAACAAAAACAAGGACAAACTACATTGACAAAACAAAACAAGAACAATGAAAGTTCCAACCTGTGTCGGAGCCTCTGACGCAAGAATAGACACCTTCATTGATTAGAATTAGAGAACAAACGATTTGTTACTTTCAAAATCAAAATTTATTATCAGTACAAACGATTATCATTAATTACCGCTTGTATTGTTAAGAAGCTGAAATTACGGTTACATTCATTCAACATGGCCGTATATTTTATGTTACCGCATGCCTTAGTTCTGAGCTCACGCTACGCCACTGGACGCGATAAAGTAAGAAGCTGATAAAAATTGTTTTTTCCACCCAATAATGTTGCGACAAATGCTACACAGACTAATCCGTCTTGACAGCTGCAATTTTGATCAAGGCATTAACTTACAGTACCTCAAGCGATGCTTACTGTCCGAGCACACGTGCTTACCTACTTCTAGTAAAAGTTCTATAGCATCTTAAAAATTCTATTAGAAAATTAAAAATTTTAAAAATATTTAAAGTTCTATGAGCCATTGCATTACGCAAGCATCCCATAATGCAATTTCAGACAGTCTGAAATCAATTATGGTTAATCCGTAGAAGTTTACTGCCATTGTTTGGATTGTCGCCTGGATAATTTGCCACCCTCGCAAAGGCTCGTTGTTAAGCAATGACTCTTTAAACAGACATCTAATATTCAATCAATTCATCATTTACTTTATTTCTTAAATATAATTTCTATTTATTCATGTTTTATTAGCAATTTTGAAACTAAACAATGCAATCAGGGGCGAAAATTTGGATTCTCATTTGGGGGGCTCACGATTTTGGTTGCATTGGAAACGCAAGAAATAAGATCATCAAAGAATATGAGGTGTTTTAGCTAATCGCAAGAATTATTTATGAATAGAAATATACAACATTTTTGCACTCATAAAGGAATGTCCACAAAAAAAAGAACAATTTTCGAAATCTGACGCTTCAAGTTTGCTAGAAGATGCACTTTTTAAAGCAAGTTAATGCAAACCTACTCTTACATGAATATCCTTAGGCTGAAAGCTATTTAACGGTTTTAATCAACTTTCTGGGTCAGGATTTGCGTCGCTTAGGCACAAAATCTCTCAGTTCTGGGAGTCGAGATATAATCTTGATGCCAAGACAGTACCGAAGAAGTCGAGAAGGTCGAAAGCTAAGTAATTTTGTTGTATCGTGAAAAGTTATTAGATTTTTCCAAGGCGATTTCAGGGTTACCTTTGCAAGATCAATGCCGTCGAAGATGTCCTTTTCACTGCAATCGCCTAGTAAGTCCCCAGACCTGTTACTGCGAAGGCAGTTTTTTATTCTCCTTACTTGTTTTAATTGCAGCTGACTCTTCTTTGAAAAAAACTGTAGGAAAATTTGATAAAAGGCAGTAACATGACTGGCAAATAATGTCAATGTTTTAAAAAACATTAACAGTGAAACGATTTTTGAAAAGATCAATATACTTTTTGAAGTAATTAAAGAAAGTCTCTTAAGTCTTTTGGTTTAAGAGAAATTGTTTTCAGTATATTTTGGGCTATTATAATTAAAATTTTGTTGCAAAAGTTTACGAGGGACAAGGACAAAGTTTTGTTTCTCATGCTAAATTGCAAGCATTTAAGAAGAAAAATATGACTAATTTTACAGTTGGAAAATATCCAGCGCTCGATGAATCCAGTGTTTACTCAAACAATTTCAGACGAAATTGCTTGGGAGGTTGAAGTAAATTCAGAAATAAGAACAAAACAGCGAAATGGTCCTCTTGACAGCACTTACTATTTTAGGAACTTTTCTACTTTTCATTTTAAACGGTTTCCTAAAAAATGAAGCCCCTGACAAAGTCGAAAATACTGCAATTTAGCTTACCTGGAAAAAATATTACAAAGTGGACACATGAAATTGTGCTTTTGTCTCTATATTCAATATTTTAACAACCTTATAAATAAAGAAAATTATCAAAATAAATCGAAATTATCCGCCATGATAGAAGCAAGTAATGCTGTCAACTAAAATTAAAGACACAACAACTTCAGATCAATCTGTTCTATCATGTGATCACTTAAGTTCTATCATGTGATCATTTTAGTTCAATCATATGATCACATTAAATAAATCATGTGATCGCTTTAAATAAATCATGTGATCAAGTCAAAGATTTCATCGTTTTGACCAAAAACATGGTAGCTTTTATCGACTCTGTTTTCTCTGTCAAAAGAGCAATTGATCACTTGAGCAGCTAAAAATTTAGCAATTCATTTACCGTAAATCCTCGAATAAGCCTCCGGGGGCTTATTTGCAAAAATGAATTTTTTAGTAGGGGCTAATTCGAGCGTGGGGGCCTATTCGAGCGTGTTACTTGCTTTTCCCTGATCTTCTTCAACTATAATCTTCAGAGTCTTTCACAAAGTTAGAAAACAATATGTGCGGCAAATTGTAATTATGCAGAAACTAGAAAACGGATTCAAAATAAAGCAAAGAAATCTTAAAAACAGAATCCAATTTGAAACTAGAGTAGAATGTTGCATTCAAGTACTCTAATAGTAAAAACCTAGGGTTATTGCACGGTTTAAGCGGTTGAAAGGAAGTTTAAGCACGGTTTAAGGCCGAAGCACCGAGCGACCAAAATTTACATATTTATAAAATGTACGCACTTGTAAATTCATAGGTGTATCAAAAATAAAGGTTTCTGTGAACGGCGGTCGGTTTTTCAAAACTTTTATGAAAAGTAAAATTCCAAAGTTTTACCTTACGAACTAAACGATGACTTAGGTTTTGATATTCGTGCCTGTTCCAAAATTCAACCAATGGCGTCCCGCAGCAAATCTTTTTTTGCACTCCGTCGAAAATTGAAGCAATCCTTGAGAGTTCGAACTAAATTTAAGAAATGTAAATCCATAAGTAGCAGAAATTTTCGCATAAAGACTTGGCAAGCTTCCATCAACTGCTTCTCTCATTTGCATCTGTAAAATGACTAGTCAATCAACGTCGTAGATTTGAGAACTGGTTTTGGCGCGAATGATACAATGCATTTTGGAAACTGCACGCTTTCACACTTGACAACAAGCTAAACAATGGCTTAATTTTACAATCATGTGTCGCCGTACAAAAGAGGAACGAATATTATTCTGAGAATCAAAATAACTCGCTTGTTATTAGGAACCACTAGTTATCATCTTTTATGATTGCCAGGTTTTATTTTGCCGTTCAATTTTTTTCCAAACAATGGTCGCGTTTCCCATGGAGCTAGAAACGTACAAACCGAACAGAGGCGTGACAAGAGAAGGTTCGTGTGTGTTACGGAATTCTCTTAGAACAAAATCACGAGCATTGTTTTTAAGTTTTACTTTTTAAAATTGTTCTATTTTGATATCGTTTGATTAAAAGTTCAAAGTAGGATGTTATTAATGCTAATTACTATATTAGAATTCCAAGTTTTGAATACTTCAAATCTGAAAGATCGTAAATAGCGTCACGTAACCAGCTGTTTACAACTGGCCACAATACAGCCGTTATTTACATGTTTAAGAAATCTCAAGTTCATTAATGTTTGAAAATTATTTGAATATTGAAAATGTACACGGTATTAATGATAATAGGTTTTTTCGGATCCGCAATGGCCTCCTAATGGGTTATTTTGATGTTTTAATTCTACCCTGAAAACTATTCAACGAATAACTGCTGCCTTTTAGCTTGAATAGAAGTTAAAATGTTTCATTAATGGTGAATTAGAACGGAGTTTTGTTGTATTTTACAGAATCTCTATTGAATCTGCACAGCCTAGAGCATGGGGTGTTCCAGTCGATTTCTTTTTAAATCAGGGCCTTTTCTATATCTTTGACCTATGTTTTGCTATACTTTCCAAAAGTCTATTTTTATATCAAATCTATACGGAAAAGGTATGCACTGCGAGGGAGCCTTGGGAAGAAGAAATGTGACTGCGGAGTAACAGAGGGAGAAAGAAGAATGCATGAGTACAATCCCCATTTTCCTGATCATTATTACATTCATGAACCAGAAAAACTAAAAAAAATTGAGAAATCGCTAAAAGATAAAATAACACTTAAATATATATAATAACACGTCTACAAACGAAATAGGATTTCTAGGGAATTTCTAGGGAAGTGATTTGTGCCTCTCGGGGCAAATATATCAAACAAACTAAAGTATCAAAGTACAAACTTGACCTCCACCCCAAAAACTTATCATGCACGCAGACAATGCAAAGCAGTGCTCACAACTTTTCAAAGGGCTAAAATAAGCTCATTCTATATCGACTTTTCTTTTTCATTTTCATTGTCTTGTGTGATCAGAAAAAACCTCTTTACGAAACAGGAAAGGTGTCTAAGACGATTGATTGTTCAGAAGAAGTCAAGCGCTAGGAAAAATTAAAGCCCAGGTATTGTACAATCCACAAAGAAAGAAAAATATGCAAAATTAAAATAACATAGAAGTATGCTGTTAACAAACAAAGGCTTGATTCAAAGAAGCTAAATAAGCACAAAGTGAAGACCCAGCGCCGAAGACCAGCAGTACATTTTGCAATGCAAGGGTCTAAAGTAAACGCAGTAAGGCTTGAGTAGAATGCTAAGATAGGGTAAGATAGATTAGATTGAACCTTGACTAGGCAAAACATGAATGGAACTGCAGGGAATGCAACTACAGGTCTGGACCAAGAAGCGATCACCTCGCTTGCACTGGGATACACAGTGAGCACATTAGTGATCATTCTAAATGGACTGGAAATTTACATAATACGAAAGAGATGGAAAAAGATCACAGACTTCGAATTGATCCTCTTCAATCTGGCTACAGCGGATTGCTTGACTGGAATCGCCTACCTTATAAGTACAGGATTAGAGACACACTGGTATTTGACTGACAAGAGCCTTTTGGAAGAAATTTACGCCGGCTCTTACATACTAATCTTCATCGCAGTGATAATGTCAGTAAATTTCGTTATACTTATTGGAATTGAGCGCCTATTCGCCGTTAGGCTCCCATTGCAGCACCGTATGTTCCATATGAAACGGAGGAGAGTATACGGAGGCATTGCCATAATCTGGCTTCTGACTATCGTAATCTGCGCACTTGCAGTAGTTTTGGATCATGTAATCAATAATGGGATACTAACCGAATATGGCTCGAAATACCTTGGCATTGCCTACGGGGCCTTCTTGTCTCTGCAGTCTCTCGTTATAATCATTATCTACTCGAGCCTAGCCTTTTACGTTGTAAAGCGACAATCAAAGTTCAAGAAATTCAATAGAGCTACTTTTCAGGCTTCAAGGAAAAGCCTTGAGACAAGTTGGAAGAAGGAGCGTACCACACTGATTGTCTGTTTCCTGGTCGTTGCATCATTTATTATTTGCACAACACCGTTTTCGGTTAAGTTGTACAAGCGCGAAACAGAAGATAACGAAGACATTGTACTATTGACAAACTCAGCTATAAACCCACTGATCTATTTTTTCAAAGGATTTGTCGAGAAATATCACCGTAGAAAAAAATTTGTTGACGATGCTTTCAAGGTTAATAAAGAAATGGGAAGAACAAAACGAATGCATGTTGTTGAAGCTGCAAATAACCCAGCATTTGAAGAAAAGGAGGATGATTGAATGGGTGTGACCAGATTTGAAGCGGGTATCACGCAAGCCCGAGGCCAGGAAGCTTTCTGGGGGGAGGAAGGAAGGGGGGCTGATGCCACAAACTGTAACACAGTATTTAAACCCAAAATAACATTTTCTTCATCTAGGATTGGGGGAGGGAGGGCTAATCACTTCTGGCCTTGGGCCTGGGTATCAGCCTGTTCTTCTCAATTTTTCTACGAACATTGGACTCTTCATGCGGATCCCTGCAGCCTATACGCATTTCAAAACTTTATTATTCATATATTCTCATAAACATTCTCATCGAACGAATTGAGTTTGATAACTATTTCATTAACTATTGACAGAGATAAAATACTTACTTAATAAAAATTTGTTCTGTTAATGTTAAACCGCTTGCAATACAAGACTTGTTGCCACTCTATGTGGCAGTCTTTAGAGTACTTTACATCGCTTTATATTATGCTCCACAAAACACTCCCCTCATAACTCTTTCATTCTCTGGCCGACGGAGGGAAACCCAGTTTGATGTGTGCCACCATACCCTTGAGAGGTATTAAGTAAGTCAATGGCAACTTAATTGCAGCAGGCGGAGCTTGTACTTTGAAAATATTCAATGCATTTATTTAGTTTTCTGTACAAATGAAAATCATATGTTATATTTAGACCCTTATCGAATTTAAATAGCCATAATTAAAAGCATGATATTAAACATACAAATGATATGAATATGTCAATTTGAAAATCAAAATAATACATTTCTTTTTTGTCAGTCTTTACAAATTTATGAATGAACATGTACCAATACACAATACACTCTTAGCAACCAACTGGCATTCCTTACATTGACATTCCAAAATTACATTGATATTTCAGGGATCCAAGCAATTGTAACACCGGGATATTTTCCAGACATGTTAAACGCTAATGTACATGCTAATTTTAAGTATGGTGATAACTTCTTTTCTTAAATGTAGCTTGGGTGATGAAAATAACGAGTTTCAAATAGAACGTGTACATAGGAAAGGAATATTTAAGCTATTTTGCACTCAACCAGGCTGATTTCATTCCTGTTTCAAACCAAAATCTAACCAACTATAAAGATTATGACCCCACCTATATTTCCGCTCAAGAATGTTTTCACAAAGCCTCACCCTTTCTCTTCCTTCCTTACGGATATTACAGGTCTATAGCTACTCGCTCTTGTCTTCACTTTGGTTATAGTCGGAAAGGCGATACGCCTACGTTCTACAACGTTGATAATTCGCTAAAGTCTCATAGGACTATATTACCTTCTGTATAAAGAAAATAATATGTCATTTTTTGGTCAAATCCATCTTTTGATTTCATTCTAGATATTTCAATCAATAGATTCACTATTTACCGTTTCAGAATGCAGGGATGCAGCAAAAGTTAAATTTTTTGTAGGGAAAATCATAATGTCTCCAAAAGGAACTACAAAGTGCTATAATCTCACAAATATTTTGAAATATTTCATATTTATGACATTCAATTTTTCATTCTTTTCAGAAAGGTTCCCTTCAGCATGGGTTGGATTTCAAGGGGCCCTCCGATAAATTATTAACAATATTAATCTACAAATTATGAATTAAAATGGTTTAATTAACTCAAACTGAAAAAACCCTGCTTAAATTTTTTTGAATTTTAGAAAATTTGGACGTTTTTGTTTGCTTGACTGGGGGGAGTCTTCAGCTCCCTGCCCCCAATTAACAGGGCACGTCATTATAATCTCATGTCACATGCATTATACCCTAGGTACAAAAGAATGAAAGGAGGAGAGAAAAAGTCAGAACAAAGTCAAAAGTATTGATTTCCATTTTTTATGTCTTCTTTCGCGTCCTGATTGCTTCACTTGCGTACTGTTAGGTCACATGGTTTATGATCCCTATCGTTTAGTCCTTTCCTACTTACAGTAAATTGTTCCTTATACTTGCATACTGAAACGTTTATAACATATTGATTTTGCCAAAACCGATTGTTGTCTCACTTCATGTGCATTTCAAAAACAAATTGCCGTAACGTGCCATACCCATGCAAGAAATGGCAGGACACATTTTACTCTTACACAACAAAAATGGAAGACCTTATGTATATTTGAAGAGGTCAAATTGCAAAGCTTTCCAATACCGTAGCAAGAAAAAAGAAAGGGAAGGTCTTTTCAAAAACAACATCATTTCTTCTTTTAAAAAAGTAAATAATAAGGTTCAAGATGCCATAACAGATATTATCAGTCTTCTTACAATCTTAACTGATAAACAACATTGAATGTTCCAAAATCTTTTGAATATTGTAAGCATATGAAAGAAATATCTGCCTTACTTTGAAAGAAGGATATAGCTGTCAATTAAACAACTCGTCTCTGCAGACAGTATCTTTTTTCTCTCACAGCTCAAGAGAACGCTAGTCTGCCTTTCGATAATCGCGATTGAAAGAGAGATGAATTTCAACAACCGAAAGGCGTTGGCTTAATTTTCAAGATACGAGATGTAATCGGTGAGGCAAGCGAGTTGCTGTTCACTTGTTATCTGCTGGCTCACCTCCGTCTGGTTTCCAGAATCTGCAAAATTTGATAGGAATATACAAAGAATACAGTGGAAATACCGCAAATAGCTATATGCTGGGCTGGGGATGCTGGGTCCAATAATTATTAAACTGTAATATATTTCCTTAAGAGCAGAATACTGAACGGGAAGAAATACAATAGGCAGCCCTCCCCCCGCCTAATATGAATCTCGTTTTGAAGACATTGATAAAGACCGCTTGAAATGTTTTCCATTTCACTCGGGCCTTCTAAAATAGGCGGGTAAAACTCAACATTTTGAGTTTCTGTTGCATTCAAATCGTGCTATGTACCTTCTGTCTTCGAAATCCTAAGGTTTCCGGCTCTTAATTTTCCTGTCACTCGTTCGATTTGGCTAAATGTTTGTTTATTGTTAACTTCAAATTATTTTTTAAATCTACGTCTTGCCCCCTCCCCCGCGAAAATACAATGGCACGACAGCCCTATCTTGCTAAAAAAAATCCATTCAAAAAATATATGAATAATAGAGTTCTAAAGTATGACGTCATCAAAAACCTTTTTTTAGAATTTTTGAATTTTAACCACAAAGCGTAAAAGATCACCAAGAAATACTTTCAAATACGCAAAATTGGCCAAATATGTCTAAAATCGGTTGAGATATGGCTCATGAAAGATTTGAAGTTTGCTAACGAATCACTGTTATTTTTGCTTTGTTCATAAAGTTATGAACAGAGACCAAAATACAGAGGTTTGATGGGGAGAGAACCAATAAACATGTGGCCATATCTCTGCCATTTCGTAATGCACTTGCCTGATTTTGCATGATGCAAGTTAGAGGTATTTCATGATGCTTTTTCAGGTTATGGGATCCAAATCAAAAAATTCTAAAAAAAGATTTTTGTGACGTCATCACTTTAGAACTCTATTGCGCTTGAGCTGCAAATGAGAATCCAAGATTTAAGCATGCATAACATGGACATGTATTTAGCATAAAACATAAATTTTACTCATATCTGAATGCAATCTCAATACATAAAGATTTTGAATTCGGCTACAAGGTAGCCTCATAAATGGGCCAATCATTACAGGACAAATCTTCATACATAAATTTCCCTGGCCTCAAGAACCTTTAGCGACCAAAGCCTTTTAGAAATAGATTTCGACCGAGAGAAACATTCTCACAACGGACAGTATCTCTTGTCCGCATGTATCCGTCAGCTGTTCTGCAGCATGTCTTCTTTAAAACGTGGGGTTTGTTCAAAAGGTTGCCAGTTTTGCTCCCTAAGACTTTTCCATCAAAGAAACAGACAATTTCTGGCACCAAGAGGGTAGGGAATGTACTGACTTCAGCCCTTTCCCTTTTTTAGACTGTATTTGACTTCAGCGCTATGATGTTTGTGAAATACGATTTTGAATGTTTAATAAAGATTACGCTTTTGGTGAATAGAACAGGACGTTTCTTAATTGCTACTTCGAGTTTATGCTGAATAAAGACTTTTATTAAACTCTCATGTTCACGGTCTTTTTTGTTTTTTGTATCGATTTTAGTAACTGTTTGTTTTTTATTGTTTCTTGTTGGCAGCAGGAGAGAAGTGCTTGACCACACCTCTTGTGGTATCGTCTTGTAAATTGTCTTGTAAATTGTGGTATCGTTTAGTGTAAAAGTAATCATATTTCTAATGCTTACTCAAAATTAGTTTTCAAATTGTACTAGCATTCCCTTCATGTTGCTTAAATGTTTGAAGTTTTTTAATTACTTATTGATGTGCAAAACAAACTTGGAATTTCCGTCCTTACCTTGTGCTTTGGGGTGGATAAACCTTGATTGGATGTCAATTTGCCAACCCTTTTGACGAGCAACTAAAAGAATAATGACCTGGATATAATCACTTGCATCTAAATATAAAATTATGTGTAAGTTAAATGAGTATTTGAAAAAATGTTTCTTCACATATATCAAGCAAGAAGTATGCGTTGGGTAAGTTTGAACACAGAATTCATAGACGGAGCTCAAATAAGCGAAACAGGTGCTGCAATTTCCAACTGACAACACGTTCAAAGATCTGCTCAAATCAACTGCTACGCAATCAAATCGAAATCTAGATCATCGATTGACAGACACCATGGCTTTGAGAGTTGAACTTCTGAGCGAACAAATTAACGCCCAATGAGAACTTAGAAACATAGGCAACGTCGAATCGAGGTAAAATAAAGATGGAAAGGAGTTCTCTTTTGACCGTAGGTAGATGGAGGACTATTGGACGTGGATGATCATCCTTTGGAGTCAAATACTGTGCACAGTATATAATAACGAAAAGGCATGAACACTGAACACGATAATTAACATAAACCAATTCCCTGTTTGCTGTAGAGACGGCCAGGGAATCTAGGTTTGACCCAACCTAACACGCTGTAGAGACGGCCTGGATTTGACCCAACTCATGACCCAACAACGTATCACAGATCAGATACATAAACAGTGTGAAAGCTTGCAACAACAATCTCAACAGGCAAGAAAATAAAGGATTAGTACCATATAAGAATAGCAATGCATTCTATTCACGAGATACTGTAAATTCTACTTTTCATAAATCATTGGGAATTAATAGAAAGGGGACTTTGCTGAGAGGAGTTCTTATTTAAGATAAATGTTGATTGGAGTTTACGCCTACTGATCAAGGGTAATTAGACGTGTAGTCGAAGGATTCTTCAAAGCGATGTCAAAATGAAATAACATTAATTAATATAAAAAAGAACGAACTAAAAAAGGCCGACAAACTGAAACATATGAAGCTCAGTGACAATGTATTGCAGAACACTGCATTGTAAATAAAATATTATACTTTGAAGTTTGTTTTATTAAATTATGAGGGGGCCTTAAAAGAGAAAGGAGTTCATTTTTTTTGCTTCCGAAAATGAAGGATTATTGGAGAAGAAGGCTTAAAAGAGAAGGGAGGTAAAATTAAATTGCGGCTAGTGACTTCAACGCTACCCTGGGTACCAGAGCCTCGAGAAACCGGGGATAGGGTATTGTAGACCGATGTGGTGGTGAAGAAGAGCTGGAGCGGATGACGGGCAGGAAAGAGGAGATTTTTTTCCAGTCCCCACCAAAATAAATATTTCTGAGACTAGATTTAAACTATATTTCTGTGACTAAATTATGGAGACTCTGGTATCCAGGGTACTCGAACGCTATTCAAAAATGGTTAGAAACAGTACACGAACCACGCGTTAGGATAAGACTACACTTGACGTACAATGAGACAATTTACCTTCGATGGCGTCTTGTTCGGTCATTCCCAACAAATTTGCAAACTCTCCAATGCGGATATTCAAATATGCTTTTGAAACCAGGTTTTTAACTCTTTCCCGTAGCTTCTCTGGAAATAAAATAACAAAATTTCACGCTTAATAATTTTTTGTCAGATAAAGTAAGAGAATTCTATCTTTGACATATTATCACTGATTGATGTTCGGGTAAGGAAATCAATTTGAAAATATGCCGCTTGCTTGACAATATATCTTTAAAAAAATTGCACTAGATAATATTGAAAAGCATTTAAGCGTGATCAGTTAAGTATGCTAAACATAGGGTGAGATATGGCCATTGAAAGTTTGCCAACGAATCACTGTTATTTTAGCTCTGTTTCATAAAGTTATGAACCAAGACCAAATTACAGAGGTTTGATGGGTCAAGATCCTATGCTTATGTGGCCATATCTCTGCCAATTCGAAACATATTTAGCTGATTTTTCACATTTAGAAGTATTTCATGATACTTTTTCAGGTTATGTGCTCCAAATTAAAAAATTCCAAGCATATATTTTTGTGACGTCATTACTTGAGAACTCTCTATATCTTGCACAAAGAACGTAAGAGTAAAAATTACTCGTATCAGATTCAAAGTAAGAGAGCTCTTTGACTTTCCGAGTAAAAAATCTTAATCACTGTGACGAAAAATGTTGATTTAGTTCCAGAAGACATTACTGTGCAAACAAAGACGAAATCACGAGGATTGTTTTTGAGTTTTACTTTTTAAAATTTGTTCAATTTTGATCTTATTCTTGATTAGCACTCAAGCTTGTTTGATTAGCAGTCAAATTTAATAGTTCACAGTAGGATGCTATTAATGCTAATTACTCTATTTTGTAAATTTAAAATTATTATTCCAAGTTTTGAATAATTTCAAATCTGAAAGATCGTAAATAGCGTCACGTAACCAGCTGTTTACAACTGGCCACAATACAGCCGTTATTTACACGATTAAAAATCTCAAGTTCATTAGTGTTTGAAAATTTTTTGAATATTGAAAACGTACACGGTAAAAATGATAATAGGCCTCCTAATGGGTTATTTTGATGTTTTAACTTTACCCTGAAAACTATTCAACAAATAACTGCTGCCTTCTAGCTCGAATAGGAGTTAAAATGTTCGGCACAGGCTACAGCATGAAGCGTTCCAGTCGATTTCATGTCAAATCAGGGCCTTGCGAGGAAGACACAGCGAATAGGGAAATGTGACTACGGAAATGAAGAAATAGATGGAAAAGGGGGAATGCACGATTAAAAGTCCATTTTAAAGTTCATTAAAACCTTAAGTTAAGGTAAAACATCCAAAGGAAGCAAAACACCATAAGCATAACAATATAAGAATCAAAAAGCAAAAAATTAAAATCAATGAAATCGCAAAAAAATAAAATAACACTATGATACAATACAATACTAAATTCACACTATATGGCAGACTTTTGTTTAAATGTGGCTGAGTACCAACTGAATAAAGTTTGTAAGATAAGAGACTATCAAAGCTTTAAGAAATATTAAAAATCAGCAAAATTAAGGTTACAGAAGGGGCTTTGCGAGCAAAAACAATTATAGATTTCCAAACTGCAAGAAGTTATAAAGGATTCAAATGTGTTAAATATGACTTTGAATGGGAAAAAATTGAAAACTCTCGCAAGGAATAGTGAAAACACAAATCTTAAACGATAGTGAAAACTGCTCTCCCTTTTTTGCAAAGGGCGAAAGAGCGTTTATTCTATATCGACATTTCTTTTTCATTTTCAACAAATGCTACCTGACCAGAGGACAGTGTTTTGTGTCATCAGAAAAACCTCTTTACGAAACAGAAATGGCGTCTAAGACGATTGATTGTTCAGAAGAAGTCAAGCGCTAGGGCAAATTAAAGCCTAATTATTGTACAATCCACAATGAAAGAAAAATATGCAAAATTAAAATGACATAGAAGTATGTTGTTAACAAACAAAGGCTTAATTCAAAGAAGCTAAATAAGCACAAAGTGAAGACCCAGCGCCGAAGACCAGCAGTACATTTTGCAATGCAAGGGTCTAAAGTAAACGCAGTAAGGCTTGAGTAGAATGCTAAGATAGGGTAAGATAGATTAGATTGAACCTTGACTAGGCAAAACATGAATGGAACTGCAGGGAATGCAACTACAGGTCTCGATCAAGAAACGATCACCTCGCTTGTACTGGGATACACGGTGAGCACATTAGTGATCATTCTAAATGGACTGGAAATTTACATAATACGAAAGAGACGGAAAAAAATTACAGACTTCGAACTGATCCTCTTCAATCTGGCTACAGCGGATTGTTTGACTGGAATCGCCAACCTTATAAGTACAGGATTTGAGACACACTGGTACCTGTCCGACAAGAGCCTTTTGGAAGAAATTTACGCCGGCTCTTACATACTAATCTTCATCGCAGTGATAATGTCAGTAAATTTCGTTATACTTATTGGAATCGAGCGCCTATTCGCCGTTAGGCTCCCATTGCAGCATCGTATGTTCCATATGAAACGGAGGAAAGTATACGGAGGCATTGCGATAATCTGGCTTTTGACTATCGTAATTTGCATACTTGCAGTAGTTTTGGATCATGTAATCAATAATGGGATACTAACGGAATATGGCTCGAAATACCTTGGCATTGCCTACGGGTCCTTCTTGTCTCTACAGTCTCTCATTATAATCGTTATCTACTCGAGCCTAGCCTTTTACGTTGCAAAGCGACAATCAAGGCTCAAGAAATTCAATAGAGCTACTTTTCAGGCTTCAAGGAAAAGCCTTGAGATAAGTTGGAAGAGGGAGCGGGCCACACTGATTGTCTGTTTCCTGGTCGTTGCGTCATTTATTATTTGCACAACTCCGTTTTCGGTTAAGTTGTACAAGTACGAAACAGAAGATAACGAATCGATTCTACTTCTGTCGAACTCTGCTATAAATCCACTGATCTATTTTTTCAAGGGGTTTGTCGAAAAATATCACCGTAGGAGAAAATCTGTTGAAGATGCTTTCAAGGTTAACAAAGAAATGGGAAGAACAAAACGCATGCATGTTGCTGAAGCTGCAAATAACCCAGCGTTTGTAGAAAAGGAGGATGCTTGAGTGGGTGTTACGAGATTTGAGACAGGATATCAGCCTGTCGTTCGATTTTTCTTACGTTTTCAAGCAATGCTTTTCAAAACAACAATTTTCACTCAAGAGCCGCCATCCTATCCTTACCTACCAGTAGCTGCCATGGTAAGGAAGTTTTTGGCACTTGTACGCAAGAAACACATTTTACATGTCCCAAGACTCGACAAGAAGTGTTTTACTGACGTCTCCCTTCAAAGTTAACCATTACAGCAAAAAGGCTGTTGCTATCATCAAATTGTATATAGTGAGAGAGTTAAAAGGTTTTGAGCCACTCCAAATATAATGAAATGAAATGAGCTTCATAAATGTTTTATTAATTATTCACAGAAATGAAATGTTTATTTAATTAGAAATTTGTTCTGTTACTAGCAAAGTGCTTACAATTTCAAGAGATTTCTACATGGCAGTCTCGTCCCACAACTACTCGTCGTTTTCCTGGCTTAAGGAGGGTTGGTCAGTTTGACGAGTGGAAGTATACCCTTAAATTTGATTAAGTTTGTAAACCCTACCCATAAAATCCATGGTAAAAATCCCACTAATCTGATCTAAATGAGAAGTGTGTGAAGAAATCAAGTCTAATTAAAGCGACGAAAAACTGAGATCAATAAAGTAAGGCAATGAGACTTAATTGCAGCAGGCTGGGCTTTTTATTTGAAAAAATATATAACGCATTAATCTAGTTTTCTGTATAAATGAAAATGATATGAATGTGTCAATTTGAAATTAACAAAATACAAGCTTTTCTTTTTTTGCTGGTCTTCAGACGTAATTGGAACGAGCATGTACCAATATTATACAATATAAAGTACATGTGTAGATATTATACATAACAACTGACAAGCCACGAAATTGTATTGATATTCCGCACTTCGGGGACCAAAGCAATGGTGGTGCCTGGATATTTCCCACGCCTTCAAATGCTAAAAATATTTCACGTTTAAGGGTCTTTATCATTTATCTTCAAATAGGTAATTGCAAAGATGAAAATAACAAGCTTTAAGCAAAACTGGTATATATGAAAAGTTTAAATATTTAGCTATTTTGTCTTCAACTAGACTGCTTTGACTCCTGTTTCAAACAGAAATCATAAATCATAATTTATGATCATCCCTGAATGACAGCCAAAGATTATTGTACAGAGCCAAAACCTTTCACTTTCCCATCTACACACATTTTATAAGAATACCTAAGTTTTTGCTGAGGCTCAATATTCTTAATTTTTTCTATTTTGTGCCAAAGGTTATTCTTAAATTATTCTTAATTCTCAGCGATTTTGAGCCTTAACATTCTTTTAATATTCATTATTTTTATAACAAATTAGGTATAGATATGGAAGTTTTACAGTTAGCTAATCTTGTCTTGACTTTTGGCCGTAAACAGGAAGGTCTATCTTTCGATGACGTTAACTTATCGTTCAAGTTTGAACATGTCCTTTTTGGGTCACATCAATTTCCGGATTTCATTCAAGATATTTCAGTCAGCAGAATTACTTTTTAGCGCTTCTGAACGCAGAGGAATTTAACATGTTGGTGAAGATAATTATAAAGTTTCTGAAAGAACTACAAAGCACCATATTCTTACAAATATTTCTCACAAATAAATATTTCATATTTTTTTCCATTTCATTTATTCACTCCATTTTTATTTTTTTTGGAAGGATTCTCTTCAACATACGTTGCCTTTCGGATGGCTCTCCGATAAAACATTTATAAAATCATAAAATGCAAAATATACATTGAAAAGCTGTTATTCAAATTAAACTGAAAACCAAATTTACAATATGATACGAAGTTGATATTTTTGCGATTTTTGCGTGAGTGAGGGGGGGGGCTTAAGCTCCCTGCTCCAATGTAGCATAACACGTGTTTATAATCACATGTCACTTCATCGTAGCTGCGTATTTATGTTCTGTTCATGTGCTTGCTGATATACAAAGCAGCCATTCTTATATTAGCAACAACTCTGATATTTAAATCAGCAACAATAAATTAAAGAGATGCACAGAAAATGTATTGAGTGCGTTGTGTTTTACTTTTGGGGTTTTTTGATGTTATGCTCTAGCACCAAGTTTTTTCCCCTCTATCAGAACTAAAAGATTAAAGGTGTAAAATTTGCTGCTACATTGTAAAATTTCTGACACCATTTGTTGTTTGATTGATTGACCGAGCGAATACACATTTTGAGACACAAAATCCATTCCTTTTGTTCCATTCAAAGCTAAGCCTTTTACAGGCACTGTTACGTCATTTTACTATTTATATATACATATGTATGAAACGGTACCACGAGTGCTTTCACAAGCCACTCGGGTTGAATGCCATCAGCCCTTTCTTAGCTTTTCAGTCCACGACTGTGTGTGTGATTGTGTGTCTACAAGTGTGTCCCCTGATACAAGTTTCTACTCCTTATAAAATGTTCACGATGACTCTTACTAATCTACTTACAATATTTGCTTATTCCGTAGTACAAAGGCGGTATTTAGCGTGAATACATAAAAACGTAAGTAGGAGGTGATAAATATATTAGGAACTTTGTAGGGTAAAAGGGCATGTAAAATATAACGTTAACGGAAAACATAAAAAACCTACGTGCAACGAGCTAATATTTCCTAACTAAAGAGAAGCATGGAAAAGTATAGACATTAATGAAAGACTGTCCTACAATGAAATTAGTGTCTCTATTACAAAGGCACTATGTCCTGAAGTATTTCACTGGCCATTTAAATTCCCATTGGTTAGACTATACAATAGAACTATTGTTACGGAGCCAATCGGCAACGTACTCGATGTTTCCTCGATTTTAAACGCGCTGCAAGAGAGTTCTAAAGTGTGACGTCACCAAAAAACTATTTTCAGAATTTTTGAATTTAACCACATAACATAAAAGATCACCATGAAATACTTCCCAATATGCAAAAATTGGCCAAATATGTCTAACATCGGTCGAGATGTTGCCAATAATAAAAGATTTGAAGTTTGCTAACGAATCACTGTTATTTTGTCTCTGTTCATAAAAGTTATGAACCGAGACCAAGATACGGAGGTTTGATGGGGAAAGAGCCAATACAAATGTGGCCATATCTCAGCCAAGTCGAAACACATTTGACTGATTTTGCACATTAAGAGGTATTTCATGATGTTCTTTCAGGATCCAAATTCAAAAATTCTAAAAATAGATTTTTGTGACGTCAACTCTGAGCGGTTGACTGACGTGACATGAGCGGTGCCTTCATAATCATGTCAACAAATGTGTGTTCGATTCGTTGCCACGGCATTTAGCAGTGCCTGCTGTGGACAAGCCGTGGTTAAAAATACAGTCAATCTTTATTATCATGGATGAAGCACATATAAATAGGCCTCTAATTGAAGTACACTGTATGTTTTAAAAAGACAAAGACGTAATATTGAGCTCATCATACCAAATCTTTAGGTCATCGAGACCTGAACATTGTTTTTAAACAAAGTCCCACTAAAGATACCCAACCATGCACAAAATGCAGATAAAAGGATTACAGCATTTTTCCTATTTGACAACAAACAAAAAATGCAAAGGCACCATAAGGCACTCAGCAACCTTTGAATTGACTCCCAAAACAAGATAAGATCGATTAAACCATTAAATCGAGGTAAGACAGATTAAACCTGAAATCAGGCAAATGAACGGTACGACAGGGAATTCATCTGCAGGTCTGCACCCAGAAACAGTCGCTTATCTTGTATTTGGATACCCAGTGAGTGTAGCGGCGATAATACTTAATATACTGGAAATTTACATAATCCGCAAGAAATGGCGAAAGATAACAGACTTCGAACTGATCCTCTTCAATCTGGCTACAGCAGATTGCATGACTGGTATCGTCTTCCTTTCTTTGATTGGAACAGAGACATATTTGATTCATAACAATGTACAAGTTCGCAATGAAATTATAGCGGCAATCTATTTACTAATTGTTGTGTCGGTGATCGTGTCAGTGAATTTCGTAATACTAATTGGAATCGAGCGTCTATTTGCCGTTAAGTTGCCAATACAGCACCGTATGTTCCATATTAAACGACGTCGAGTGTACATCGCTGTAGCATTGATCTGGCTTGTCACTATCCTGGCATGTGCTCTTGCAATAACTTTGGATCAAGTGATCAATAACACGGTTATAGAAACTTATGGCTCAACACATCTGGGCTACACTTGTGGAACTATATTGTCATTGCAGTCACTTATCGTTCTTCTTCTATACTCCTGTTTATCCGTTTATGTTTTGAAACGGCAATCCAGATTCAACAAAATTGGTGAAGCACATTCCGCAAGAAGAGATCTGGCAACAAGTTTGAAAAAAGAACGAGTCACTCTGATTATTTGCTTCCTGATTGTCGCGTCATTTCTCGCTTGCACGACACCGTTCTCAATTCGTATGTACCAGGAACAGCCAGAGGAAATCGAGCGCATTCTGCTGTTGTCAAACTCAGTGATAAACCCACTTATTTATTTTTTCATGGGACTCGTAGAGAAATATTATCGCAGGAGAAGAATTGCTGATATCAATTTTAAAGCCAATAACGAAATGGAAAGAGTGTGAAGTCAACCTGTTCGTGAAGTTGCTGATAAAACAGCATTTGTAGATGCGATAGCAGAATGAAGAGGCACATAGTTTAAAATCTAAATACGACTTACGGCCTCGTTTTGGACTTCATCACTCCAAACTTTATTGTATGACTTTGTTGTGCCCAGATTCAGTTTTATAACCATACTTTTCGACCAGATTCAACTCTCATGTAATTTGTGCCGTTTGACCGCAAAAATCGTTCTGAGTGAAACTTAAACCCCCTTAGTCGCCAATCACGGTCAAATCCCTTATAAAATTGTTATCTTTATGTCGTCATAAAGGCAATATCGGGAGCAATAACATAATGAAAACTTCAAAGTAGCCTTAAATTCATGCTTTTAATCTGAGTATGTGGTCAACAACAACAGAATTTGAAGAATTTTTCAAATTGAGGCTGTAAGTTGAATTGATGTGAGCCATTCATGATGTGAACCAGAAACTGGACTAGACCAGTCATTTGAATACACAACACAATACCTGAATTCTTTCACTCGCTGGCTGACAGTAAAAGCGCTGTATACCTTCCAGGATTCAGTGCTATATTATATTGGGAAAAGGGACTGCAACAAACTTTTGCAGTTGAATTTTGCTGATGGTACACAAGATGGGTCTTAGAAGGCTTTATCACAGGATGAGATCCTACTATCACAGGGTTTCCCACTACTTCCGGCAGGATCAGTTTTGTAATTTGTTTAAATTACGAGAAAATGTTGGGGGAGGGGACATATTTTGGCGTCATATTTTTTGTCATGTAACCCTATGGTTTTGAAACTTCCTTTGCGTAACCAAAAGTTAATCATGGACATTTGCTAGGAGTAAAATTGAAGTTCCTTTTTGGTAGAAGAATGTTTTGTAAAAGTAAAATGGGTGCAGCCTTAAAAATTTATTTTGTCCACCCCCTCCCCCCAGATCTTAGTGGCTGGCACTGCCCCTGATATTTTGGATTTATTTAGATTTATTATTTGTTTTTTAAAGGGTTAACTTATTACTGGTTAATGAGTCAATGTTTATGAAAACTACCGTCTTTCAAATGATTATGCTATAAATACAGAATATTGCCTCTAAGATCTGTTTTGTGAGGTCTGATAATACATATTCGAAGTTTGAACTTAGATAAAAAAAATATGATTACCTTTCAAGGTTTGAATGTATTTATTTATTTCTGGTGGCCATTCCTGATTGAGTGCCAAATGCGCAGCAGCAAAGTTTCTTGTCCAAAGCAACTGACCAACTTTCCACAATAATTCTAAGTGAGGTGTTGTCTGAAGAAATGAAAAAAGTTTTACAATCCACTGGTTTCTTTCAAAAGGCCTTAAAAAGCTTTCAAAAATTCAGCTTGCAATTCTGACAAAATGCATCCCTGCTCTACATTTATTTATTGATTAAATAAAACATATTTAAATTACAATACTTTTATACATACTGTCTATATGTATAAGACTGTCTATTTACACTGTTACTGCTTTATATAAGGAGCCTCTTGAATAATAAACATCTGAAAATTTAAGATTACATGATAATTACAGAATTATTTAAAAACTTTGCATAACTGTGAATTGTATATTGCAACTATGGATTTGAGATATTGTCCTACCTATTTATTAAAATTTGGTGATCTTAAATGTACTCGAAAACAGAGAACATAATTCAGTTTTTTCCTTTATCAAGATAGGATGCTTTTTAGAGGCTACTGCTCTATCAGAGCACATTTCAACTTGCAACAGCAATATATATTAATAACAGTATTTTGTAACAGTATAAGGAGTCAATCAAAAAGCTGCTTCAAAGCCTATTTAGCGAAAAGAAGAAATGCTAATAGATAAAGAACTTTGAGACAAAGAACACTGACAAATTAGTTATTCACCTTTTCTTTTAGTCTTTTCTTTTAGCAAGATAATTTTTCAAAACATTACATTTGACAATGTAATAATTTAACTTATAACTGTCCTCCAAGACAAAGAATACTCACAGATTTGACATTTTCTGGGAGTCTTTTCCATAGAAACTTTGCATGAACACTATGAGCAACCAGAAATGTCTGAACATATTTATTTCTCATAGCAAAAATATCTAAATTAATTACTAGAAAATAGAAAGCTCACTTGGAAAAGCTGACTGCGAAATTTTAAAACCAAAACCAATTTTCAGTGACTGGATAGGGAAGGAGACTGTGTTCCTTTTGCTTAAATTTCAGTCAATTTTTGATAGATTAACTTGTTCATTTTTCAATTGTAGGACTTTCTTTAAGGGTTCTTTCTAATGATATGTGCCAAACTAAAAATTGAAATAACATTATCACTTTAACACTATCAAAAATGTCTTTTGTAATAAGAGCTCATTTGAAGAGTTCTAATACAAAAGAAAGTCTTTCTTTTGATGAATTTTACAACATAAAATACATTATAACAATATAATTTTACACTAATTCTTTTTACTAGATGATACAATAAAAATATTTAATAAATAAATACTTACAGATCATTTTGTAGTATATATATTGCCAAAAGTTTTGAATATACATCTGTTTTTAAAGCATCATTTTCCAGCTAAAAAAGAACTTTGGACATAATATTGTACATAATTTTACATAATGTAGGAGGTGATATTCTATGATGTCAGAGCTAAGGTCACAACGAAAGTTCTTTGTAAGGATCACAACCCTTGTCTAGAATTTCTAGAAAAAAGCCTTCATAAGAATGATATGCCGTCAAAAGCAAATATGCCTGCACATACTTCAATTACAGCATGCTGTAAAATTTTTATAGCTTTAGGCAAGCATGCCAAAGAAATTATGCAGTCAATACCAGATATCTCCTGTGCAAGATACATAGGTTCTACCCTAGCTTGGTGCTTGGTTTGCCTACAACTCCAATATATCAACACATGCAATTGTAAAAAACATTGAATTCTCATGAATGTTTCCCTTTGGCCTGTTTACTATTCTTTGTCTGGGCCGGGACTGAATATGAACTGAGAGTTTAGCTTGAGTAAAACCATGGGTGTGTCTATTTTAAAGTCACACTCCCCATACCAGAATGACATTTGCTGCAACTTCAAAAATTACAACTACAATGGACTTTTGTACCTCTTTGCAGGGAGTACCTTATGCTGTTAGAAACCAAACATGCTGATAGAATTTGGGGCCTGGATCATTGCTTTTTAGGTATGCCATGTTCGCTGAAATATTTAAATGCTAATGGATTGGGATTTTTAGCATTCATTAAACCATTTTAACTTGATGGAAGTTGGCCAGCATCAGAACTATCTGACTGCTACAAATTTAAAAAGTTGCTGTCAAAATTATGTGTCAAATTAAAGGCCCAATCTGGTCTCTTGGAAAAACAATCAAATGCAGTGGCAGCACCAAGAGGAGGAATGGGGGGTACAAAGCACTGAAACGAGGTAAAAGGGGTGTGGAGTCCCTGGTCATGCCCATTACCCTCCTACTCTGCAGTAGCTGGCGCTGCCACTGATCAAATGGGAAAGGCATAACCAAGTTAGAAACCCTGTACCATGTGTGATTGTGTGACAAGGTCATGTTTTTTATGATGATACTCCCATCCCAATTTTAGAGGCACTGGCATCCAGAAGTATTGATAAAAGACATCCCAGGTGGAATGTAAATATATGTTAATTTTTAAGGCTGGATACAAGAAATATCTGAGGTACGGTAGGAAGGACAAAGGGGGGTCTGGGGGTACCCCATAGGAAGCTTTCTAAGGACTACACCCTATAGATTGCTGTAGAATGGTCCTGGAATCATTTCATATCTCAATATTTGATTTGATGTTTTGAAATCATGACCCATGCTCATGCTAAGTCCATTGATGTGCAATCCAGTTCTCTATTTGAGTTTTATGTCAGTTTCCTAAGCAAGGGCTGGTCAAGAGAGCAGTAACAAGATGCCTAAGCAAGGTAACATGATGCATAAAAAGGTCTCAATCAAAGAAAATAAGACTTTTCAGGAATCTACATAATCAGGCTTATGCTCAAGCATCACTATTCTGGATCTGCCTATACTTTCTTGGTTATTGTCTGCAAAAAGCTAGATTTTCATGAGAGACCAGTAAGGAGATTGGAGACTGTGATCTTGTATATCTAAGCTTGCTTGAAACTGGGGGTATGTGCGCAAGTTTTCAAGCCTTCAATTTTGGATAGTAAATTCCTTGCATTCAGTGTGACCCTGCTTTACAACGTTCTTTGCAGTTAACAAGAGTCTATGATGAAAGGGACATCAAATTTACTCCATGAGGCTCATTATGTTGACCGAAATGTGTTAAAATTGACTGGTTGAGATCCCCACAAGTCAAACTCCAAATAGGAACGAAATGGAATATAAGGGAAATCGTATTATCTTTTTGTAAATAAGTTTGATAATTCTTTTAACTTGAATTCAACTTTGAAGGACTCACAATAAAGTTAAAATGATGAAGATTAACAAGGACAGACACAAAAAACTGCTTACAGAAAGGTCTTGTTCCTCTAAATTCCTGCATTCATCAACAATGTCTGCTTCAAAGTCAGCCATATTTACAGTAGAAATTTGGGAGGCTACACCGAAGTCGAGGCTAACAGTCTCCAAGCGAAAGCAGGGGTGGCATAAAAATACCGCACATGAACGGTTAAAGTTTAGTAAGCAGCTGGGCGCTTATTTAACATTCCAGGTTTAGGGAGGCGCTAATAGCACTGACCACCCTTTAGAGTCCTGGGCTTTCAATTTGCAGTTTACGGTATAAGTATTTTGAAAATGTATGAGATGGACAGTACCTTAGGTGCCAGAGCCTCTGTGAAATAGTGGGTAGTAGGACAAGAGGGGCAGGGGCGAAACTACCGGGGGGGGTGTGGGGGGTGTGACACCCCCCCAATCCAAAAAATAGTCGATTTCGCAGGGCAATCGAAGATTTCGCAGGGCCCCAAGAAGAGCTTTATTGCCACGCAGAAATGCCACCTCTGAAGTTTGTAAAGAGCCGTTTAGGAATTTTGAAATGGAAATATCGTATTTGTTATGAACCTCCCTTCCTGACATTGCATTTTAGAGAACGGAACAGGTATGTAAGGAAAAGCTCCGTTATTTGAAGCATTTCATTACAGAAAGTCATAGCCAATGGATGCAATGATTGATGCATATGTTTATGCGGGCAAGGTTGAGTCATGAAAATTAATTTAAGTTGTAAATTATTTTCATGACAAGCACGGCGTCACTGGGGGGGGGGAGTAAGGAGCTGAAGTCCCTCATTTTGGTCAAGATAGGAATTTTTTTATCAATTTTTCTATTACTTTTTAACAGTGCATGAACTTAAAAACATAATAAATCGTTAAGATACCGATTTTGTTTCATCTAATTGCTAACTTTTTCACGTAAATTTTTATTATTTTTCTTTTATTTGCATTAATTCAGTAAATCATTTTCTGTATCATTGCAATGTTTTAATTTTGGATGTGTAAACATGGCCTTCTTGACACAAGAAACTGCACATTTCTGTTCAGGAAAAAAATTCTCCCAATCAAAACAACATCTTCCTCTGTCATTCACAACTACGTGCAATCTGAAACGAAAGGTTGCCGTTTCTTTCCTTCCCCAACGTCTAACACTAGAGTTTTAGCATGACATCCCCCTTCCTATTTTTCCCAATAAACAATAATATTTTCAATAAACAATCAGTTCTTTTAGCACAATAGTATTTTGCTAAATTTTTGTCTGAAAGATGCTTTTTAGCCCTTTTACAAGGTATAATTTCAAAAAATTTCTTCACGTCGGACCCAACCATGGTGGGTCCTCCTACCTCACTAAACTCGACTCTTAGCCCCACTGGGTTAAATTTCGTTGCGCTGTCTACATCATGTACCCACCCCCCCCCCCAATTAGCTGTTTATTAGCTTAATTTTGCAAACCAACATTAAATGAAGTGAATATAAAAAACAATTTACGCTCACGTAGAGAAATAGAAATTTCATAGGCAATGAAGTTTCAAGTTTGTTTTATTGCTTAGAAGTTTGTCCTTGGTAAAGACCAGTGTACACTGGTAAAGCTTTCACTAGTAACCTATAGACAAACCGTTGCTACAATGTCTGCAGGGCACCACTCAGTTTTGCAGGGCAGAAACCCTTTTCACCCCCCCAAAACAATTGGCCAAGTTACGCCCCTGAAGAGGGGAGCTCCTTCCTCCCCTCTCCTCCTACTTCCGACAACACTATTCGACCATCACTTTTATCTGGTACCTAGAGTAGATGGACAGGGGTTTTAAAATTAACATCTCACAAATTCTTGACCAGGGAGGCCAACGCAAGTTAAAAATGATAGGGGCAATATAAAGACATACTAACAAAATTCTTGCAACGCTACCCACCCTCTACAACAACTCCAACCTTTGGCCACTTTTGTCTTTTCATATGCTGTGCATAGTGTTCCGATAGATGACAAAAATTTAATCTCACAGCAATGAGGTACTTTGAAAAATCACCATAGCACCATCTGTGCTAAATAGCAAGAGCTTTTTGGATATTTCGAAAAATTAAATGGCTGAAATTACATGTTATTATATTTTCTATCGTGTAAGTGGAAATACCTTTTTATTGAGGCAAGCTGGCGAGATTTTGATCCACCCTAGAGAGGGGGGGGGGCAATTACATCATTGTGCTGTGATTGCATCAGCGTCTGTAATAATAATCGAATGTTTTAACAGGATAACCTATCAGTACAATATGTACTGTTATCATTAGGGTCCTGATGTTAAACATGTTTTTTGCATTACGTAATTATTATTTCAAGGTTCTGCTAAGGGTACATAAAGGGCTGTTTCATAAGTTAGGAGTAGTCTTGTCGAAGCTTTTGTCGTACTGCTAGAACCTCTTGCTAGTTTTGTCGTGTCTGTTGAAGCCGTGCCGTTTTTTGTCGAACTTGTTGTTTTCAGTCGTTAGTTGAATTATTGCCGTAAAAAGAAGAATTTTGATTTTATCCACCGTTGCCGTATTTTTGAGCATTTCTGCCTACAACGATCTCACATTGCTAAAATCCCCTTTTAAGGTAGGCTACTGGTCCAAATTCTAAAATCTTTGTTTGTAGTGCTACACTGTTAAAATTTGGGGTCCTGGGGTAACTTTTTGCCCTTTTTACAAAAATGCAATAAAAATCTTAAAATAACTTGTAGTTGCTATGGTAACCGGTAATGAATGGGAAAAAACATGCCTTGCTTAGTGCAAGCTATTCTTAGTTGTAGTTAATCATACAAGCCAAAATGATACATCAAACAGTTGCTTTGACTCTGAGGAGTGCACAAAAGGTCTTTAAATTTTAATTTTCTAATTTTATACTTTTTTGTTACACATTTTACAAAATTTCACGTTTTATGGCTATAAATCTCTCCTTTTCCAGTCCAATCATGAGACAAATGGTTACCTAATGTAAAAAAGAAGGCCTTATGTGCACTGTCTGAAATATAAGGTTTCTTCTGGTATATAGACATGTTTTGTTATATTCAGGGGGTAAAATATTTCTTTGCACTAAACTCTACCAGTTTTCCGAAATCACTATTCTTAGAAAATGCTGATTAAAGTTTTAAGAGTAATGTTTCAAGAGGTAGCAAACTAGAATTGGTATGTTTTCAACTTTCTTCAATACAAATGTCCCTTTACTTGAAATTTAATCAGAAATAACATATAACATTTAATAAATAACTAATTTTAACCATATAATTGAATATTTTTAAGCATTATATTTTCGGAAGCATTTTGTTCGCCTTCTTGCACTATCCTTTTTTGCTCTGTTGTCTTTTTTATACTTCAGGCTCCTTCTTCTTTTCTTTGTTTCTCTTTTGACAGCTAACTCTGCCTTTTAATCCTTTCTTGGTCTTTTTTTGCTGCTGATAGTTCTAAAGTTGACCCTGGAGTGAGACTTAGAGCTTGGCAGAGAACAACTTTGAATGTCGCACCCATTGTGAACTGAGAAATTGCCAACATGACTGCAGTTTTCAATGTTCTTCTTCCAACAAAGGTAGTTTTTGGGCAAAGTCTCCAAATAATGTTATGCAGTTACTCATTTGGATTCTGAGTTTTGTTCCTTACACACTTGCCTGTAATAATTTTGAATCTTTAGCATCTTTTCTTGAGTTAGTTTTCCTTTTCCAGAAACTGGCTTTTTGTGCTTTTGACTCAGCCACTAGATTCCTCAAGGCAGATCCCATTCTCTTTGAGACATGATTTATGCAGTCTTCCTTTTCTATTTTAATATCAGGGCCATATGGCCTTGCTGTCACCATCACAAAGCATAGTTGTATATCTGTATCTACATTTTTGCACTGACCTTGACAACAGATTTTTTGCACAAGCTACCTCCATTGCACCAGCTGTCCCATCAAAGTTTTTCTTTCCAATCATCAGATACCTCCTGATGTTTCACAAGTCTGGCAAAATATAACTCCGTTTGCTGAAAATCCACATCCATTATTATTTTCAATATGAAAAGTTAGTCCCGAGTTGTTACATATAGGCCACAGAAGTGAGCTTATCGACTCATTTACAGCAACCTTCTGTACGATTACGTAGCAGTCTTCTGGCTTCTCAAAAGTGCAGTCATCATTCTCTACCGAGGAATCGATGTTCATGTTAACTCCAAATACTTGTTGTTTCTTAGCACTGGAAGACAAGTCTGCTAGGTGCTGTTCCTTCCTGATACCGACATAACTACAGCGCCAGCTTCTTCTGCGGTTAAATTTGTTTCAATCCTCTTTCTTCAACCTCCAACGTAACCTCTCTTTGTCCTAAACTTTGTCTTGCCCATAATTATTGCAAAAATAACAAGTTTTATTTCAAAATCAATCCTACTTTGGCAATTCTAAACGAACTAGGCTGCTGCGAGATCCCTGGAGCCACCATTTTGAAGAGCATGTGACACAGATAAACCAATCGGAAAAAACTTTTCAATCCGTTAGCCAATCACCTTTCGTAGATAAACTGACGTCATATAGAACCAGCCTCTAGTTGCTAAAGTACATAAACGAACGAGGCTTTCTTCTTACCACAGGTAGCTCAAACTTTCTAAACAATACAAGGATCGGAACAAGCTTGAAATGAGCTTCAAATTGGTGTATAGTTATCCTGTGTTGCAGGAGGGACATACTCTGAAAATTGCACTTCGAAAACAACTTTCTAAAGAAAAAATCAGCTGATTGTAGCTAGTTTGACGGATCCCGATCAGCTTTAGACATAAATTTACACCTTTTCTGTCACGATTCGAGCCAAATAAGTTTGCAGTTCTATCCTCTAGTAAATAAAGAATTGATTTAAAGCGAAAACAAAAAATGCGAATTTTGACGGAAAATTGCAATTTTTGGACCAGTAGCCTACCTTAAGCGGTTTTACAATATAATTGTCGACTAATAGAAATATACCTTGATAAGTGAGTAAATAAATCAAATAAAACCAAGCAGTATATAAACAGTTTGTTCTCTTTTTACTTCATACTCTCTTTACAAAAATAATAATAATAAGTCGAAAAAAATTTATCCTTCAAATAGTGGCGGGGCTTCAGTCACCCCCTCCCAGCCCCCTCCCCAGCCCCCCCTTCCCCAGCCCCCCCAAGCTGTGCCATGCCTGGGACCGAAAGTAAGCTTA